ACAGAACAAATTTTACAGTCAAACCAAATCTCTGAGTGATGCCAAGCAGATTTGGAAGGCCAAATGCCAAGGTATGAGGATTGCTACAGCAAACAGTATCTCCAGGGGACTCTAGCAAACTGACATGAATCATCAGAGCTTGAATTTGGCTGTGAACTGTGAACACACTCCTCATTGCCTGTGCTGGGCAAGAGGGTACCAGAATGTCAGCCTGTAACACTGAGCAGGAAGGGAAGGTCAAGTGCTGGTCACGAAATTTTTTATATGACTCCCTACATTTTCGTGAATTTTTTTGGCTGTCACGGCTGTTTATGAGGGTTAGTACCTCTCCATTGATCTTGCTTGCATACTTCCCAGGATCTGTAGTGGCTTCTCTCTTGATTGTACACAATGCCACCAGCATCCTGTCTGCGAGAAGCTTCAAAGAGCTTTATGACTTCAGGCCTGCAGCCCATGCTGGATCCTCCTACAATGAAACGAGTACCTGCCTTGACAAAAGTGCCTTGTCTTTTTCACATGATTTTTCATCCACAGGTAGGTTTTTATTTTGAGCAAGAGGATGACCTCTCGGTGATAGGGATCCACACCATATCCATATATGGTTATGACCATCAAATTTATGGGTTGACCCATACCATCACCATATGGGCTGAAACTGTCGACAGTACAGGTCGTAACCATATCCGTCAACCATATTTCTGGTGGTGCTGAGCGACTCCAAGAATTTTTTGGACCAATGTCATTCTGGATACACAAATAAGGTCAGTATCTGTCAGATCACAGCAAAATTTAGGCAGAAATACCTATATTGAGTGAACCCGTACTTGACCTATATTTTTCCTGGATTCCAAATCTCTATATGGTACAGTTACGGTACCCGTATGAACCGTCCCATAATTCCATAAATACGGGTACGGTGCAGATCCCTACTTGGCGAATGCAGATTGTTTGAAAGAGGTGACAGTGATGCATATATAAATGTGAGAGATTTATGGAAGGAGGTAAGATATTGTTACCAAGAGAGAAGGGTAGCAAAGATTAAATAGCAATAATATAAATGAGTCATGCTAGAGAATGATTGCTGTGAGAGGCTGGAGAGAAAGTCATCAATAGTGCATACCTATGTGTGCTGCAACAATTGTCAAAGCCATCTTCCCTATGCCAGCAACCTAAGCCTCATGATTATATCGGTGATGATTTTCAGCTGGTTGAAATCGACTGGATCTCTAGTTGCTGGGCAAGACATACAATTACAGTGTAGGTAGTTACTGTATCATTTGTCTATGTTGCGAGCCTGCACCAGCTTCCTGGGACCATAACATAAACAGAATTATGGAATAGTTGGTATAGTTGTTTTCTATCAGAGCCAAGTTCTAGTGAATGTATGCTCCTTGGTTTGAATGAGTGTAGGAGTGATAGCATGTCTCGAGTTATTGGCAAGGAGATCAACATCAGCTGGGTAAGTGTCGGTGATGAGAGGTGATACACAATGCTGCGAGCACTTGACCCAATGGAAAAAATATGACATGTTGTTGCGACTGCAGCCTATTTACACATGTAATTTTGCAATCTAACGTGTTTTACATGCATACTGAGATATAGTGAGTGAGCAGACTAAAACTATGCATTGACACTAATGCTACATGGTGCAATGATATGGAATATAACTTATGGCATAAGAAGCAACAGGATTCTAAACAGGACTTAGTCACAGCACTGTACCTGACGGGCATGCGTGATGAGAAGGCCAAACCCTATACCCAATGCCTTAGGCTCTAACTTACAAGCATGCTTGTGGGAGCTAGATAAAACCTTGAAGATTGCAGTGACACTGAGAATACTTAGCGTGCTCACTAACTGTGACGCGTTGTACCTGAAAATCTGGGGAAATCCTTAAGCAAGATGACAGATATCACCGGCATGAACTGGGGCAATGGGCTTCAGCTGAAGTCCACGAGCCTGCATCCCATTGTTCTGAGTCCCATTGTTAGACTCACTTGTTGCTGTGTCTACAAGAAGCCTCTGTGAATCCAAGAAAGAAGTCTTGAACAACATCTGCCAGGACTAATAGTTCCATGTGCCTAGACCTGTCAGTCGCTAGAGAACAAGCCTGCAGGTGTCAGGAGGGCACCTCTTGGCATGCGTTTAGTGAGCTCACTATAGAAATGAGACTAAACTGGGAAGTCTGACTTGGATGCTCAGTAAGATGGTGGTGGCAATGTGCTATGCATGTAGGAGTCTGGGTACTGCATGACGTTTGTAATTCTAATTCTCCTGTAGTATAAGTAGGCTGGTTACAGTAGGTAGAAGCCAAGTTTCAAGCCCCTGAGTTCCCATGCATGTGTTGAAGGCGGTACTGTAACAAAGGATCAGTTTGTGACTTCAAGCTTTGCATAGAATTAGTGAGCTCACTCAGAGAAATATGAGATACCCTTGAGAAAAGACTTTTTGTGTACTTAGTTCTGAGAGAATAAGAATCAGTGAAGCTGTTCTGTTCCATTGAGTGTTGATAAGTCCGTTCGGAGTATGTTCTGAAGAGGAAAAGCGAGATCTGTTCTGTTCTGTCTGTTCTGTTCTGTTTCTGTTTAGTCTGTTCTGCATCAGTTCTGTTTCGAGTTTCCATTTTCTGAATCTGTTTCTGAGCACTTCTGAAGTGTTCTTGAGTCGAGATCATCTGCTGGAGTTAGTTGGAGAACCCCTACATACAGTTGTGTAGCAAGCAGGCTAAGTCAGTGCTTGCCTGTGGTGTTCTTTTAGCAAGCTCACTATTGTTTCAGCATGTATTGCCTCTGTTTCTGTCAGGATCAGTGTCCCTTGTGTATTTTAACTCAAATCTGCCTTGAAGGTTGCATTGTGCCAGTGAACAACCTTCCTGTAAAAGTTCCTAGACTTAGGGATTCATTAGAGAAAGCTTAGCTTTGCTAAGAGTGCTGAGAATAAGAGAAACTCTTTGAGATATTGAAGTATAGTCAGATTGCATTAGGAATAATTGCTCCCCCTAGAACTCACAAGGGTGTTTGTAGTTTGTGTAGTTGTGTGAGTGTGTGTGTGTGGGTTTTTGAGGTTTGCCTTTTAGCCCACTCACTATTCCACAGGTGCCCACAGCCAGCCTCTTCAGCATCTGAATGTGAAACATGATTGTGCATGTGCACACTGCTCACTGGCTCATCATTGATGATGTCAAGCACATTCTGGTTCGAGAGACCAGAACTGAGAAACAACATAATATGACATAACCCTGCTCTCTATCTCAAAGTCTTCAATAAAGGTGCATATGACAATGGGACCGGGGAGCATCTTTTATGCATGGAACTAACACAGAGTGGAGATGGCAGATGGATTAAGGGAGAGATTCGAGCATGGATGGAGGATGAAAACTTGTATATAAGGGTGGAAATGGTTATAGACATGCCAATTAGAGGGCATGAGGATTATCAGAGAAGAGTAGCAGTTGTAAGCATGACAAATCTTGAGGGTGTTGGAGCCAATGCAAGGAGCAAAGTGAAGGTACAAGAAAAAAGCAATAGTCTGCTTGTTGTAGAGAGAAGTCTGCCATGTGCCTGGTTGGCTGGAAATGGTATGAATGGTGGCGTTGTTATCATCATGAAATGAGGCCTTGGCCGGCCTTGAAGTGATGTATACAACAATGATAAGAGCTCAGTCTTGACTTGCTTAAAGCAATCTGGCAATATAACATGACGTGTAGATCAAAGGAGGAGAAAATGTGTTGAGCTGTGAGAACCCACCTCATGGTGAAGGAACCCACAGCACATTATGTTTTTGTACATTGGTCATGTCGAGGTCTCCATACAACACAGCCTCTGCATCTGCAGAAGAAGTCATGGGAGAGCAGGGTGAGTGCCTAACCAAGCCAGAACCAATGTACATGTCAGGAGGAATGAGAGGGAACGAATAAAATTATCATTCTGAGTCATGTCTGGTGGTGGTATGTGCACTTTAGGGAGTAGCATATATGAGCATTGAGCTGTTCCCTATGGCATTAGCCTTCAAAAGCACTCTAGTAGGGACATACCAGGATAACACTTGTCCTTCTCATCGCTCAGAAATTCAGCGTACAGCTCCAAATAACCTCCCTTCAACTTGAGCAAGCCAATCTTCTATATGTCCTTCTTTGAGCATCATTCTTTGGCAATAAGAGTACCTATGGAGTCGAAGAGTGATGACCATCACATAAGGGCAATGAACTATGTGGTGTTTCCTGTACACTGGATATAGCAATGAGAGTGGTGGGTGACGTGAGGGGGATCATCTGTGGAATATCATTTAGGATGGGTATGGTTGGGTAGGTGAGAAATTACATACATGCTTGACGTAGTAGATAAGTACTAGATAAGAGCATAACCAATAGCTCCAGGCCAGATGAATGACCACCCTTTCCCATGAGAATGCCAATGAATCCATTGTGAAATTCCTTGTATGCGACAAATGGGGACCCAATTTTGTACTGGTATATTCTCTTGGAGCCTCAGGATTGGTCAAAAATTGTCTAGAATACATTTAGGACTAATTATGCAGGAGATACCTTTTTGCAGATTAAGGAACACATCAGCAATCTCGCAACTGCTATAGGATGCATAGGATAGCCCTGCCTATGCCACTCTATATTCTATAATGCGGTATAGGGCTATAACAGGGGTGCATGATTTCTATAACCATAATCATAGGGCTACACCCTGCGTATACCACCTGGTCATAGATCTATACCTTGGTTATCCGTCACTCACTGATATCGAATCACTAGTATCCAGTTCTTTCGCATCGTTGCCATGCCGTATGTCAATTGAGACAGGCATTATATTCGTTAAATGATGTACCAACAAAGCACAAAAATAGCAATCTAATCGACTACACTGTCTTTAGTTCGTCCATAGGAGACACTGCATACTATGACCCCCATTGAGGCCTGAATCTTCACTGGCACTTGAATACTAGTAGCTGCATGTAAGCACTTTGTAGCGAGGATGGCATGGCACATACCTTTACTCAGACATATCCACTTCATCGCTTTCTTCCCCCGAATCTTCATCTGAGTCTTCATCATCCCCTTTCCTGCCTGCGCTAAACTCCCGGCAACGCAGGTAAATCTCATTCCATTTCTCCATTGATAGTGCCCGGGTGTTCTTGTAATGCTGCTTCGCTATTGCGCCCCAAGGATCTTTGCCGAAACTGTCAGGAGAATTCTTGGACTGTTTTCCAGCCAACGTGTTGACCCCTTTCTTCCAGACTTGCAGCGCACGCTTGACCTATGGATCTCATTAGCAACCTTGCAGCAAATATAAGTTCACACATACCGCTGCAGCAGCAAGTGCCAGTGCGCCTGCTGGTGGTCCAGATGTAATTGGAGTGTTGATGGTACGCTGGATGTGGTAGGCCATCGTTTCAATGATAAGTCATCCAAGGTAAGCTCCACGTCCATTGGCTGCCTGCAAAGACATCTCAGATTGCTGCAGTTAACACATTGGATGCAACGCACAGAATTCTCTGGCTTTTCATAAACGAACCACTTGTTCTTGGCTGCGTTTCGAACCCATGCAGCTTGCTGTTCAGCTGTCTTGCATTCCTTGAACTCTGCATACTTCCAGTTTCGAGACAAAGCCATCATGGCAGCCTTCCCAATTTCACTGCGATGTGAGCAGATTTGTGTTTGTATCTGGGGCTTGTCAGCTTAATAAGAGACATAGAGACACAGTCTACATACCACACCCATGATAGCCGGTGATACGCCTGGTATCAGGCTACCCGTAGATTTTGCGATTTTACATCAGTTTATGCAATCTACAAGCGGTACAGAGGGCTACAGTGGAGGCTTCGCGCTGGTAGCTAAATACTACATAAAGAATGAAAGCACGGCAGTACAGAACGGACTTAGAAACGACATCTCGAAGAGTCAATTCTACCAGCCGTCAACACGCCAAGCTAAGCCCTACCTAAACAAGACTATTACAGTCAAATCTCGGGGACTCGTCTGTATGGAGTATAAAAACCAAGAAGTTGAAGAATGGAATGAACTAGATGCCTCGTCGCCTCGACGAGTAGAAAGAACCTGTCAGGAAAAATTGCTAAGTCAAGAAACAGATCAGCTTTCGAGATCAACTCAGGCTAGGAAAGGAATAACCTTGGAAGAATGAATAGCCGCGTTGGGTACCGAGATGACCGACCTTGATCGCGCAGTGATCAACAGAATACAATCTCGGACCTGCAGTCGATCGCGATCGGTGGTTACATCCTCGAGATCCTGCGCATACTGCAGTATTCAATACATACGGCGTGTGGCAGGCCTTGCAGATGGAAGAAGGAGCACCCACGGACTAGTAGGGCACTCCTCGGCGACAGAATAACCTGGCGCAGTCGCGTCGAACTGAATAGAAACTACAGAATGGCGCGATACTTGTAGGATAGTGACTCACTGTTTGTATTAATTCCAAAGCTCGTACCATAATTACTGTAGATACGGGCTCCTATACCTAAAACACGAATCGTATAAATTAGCAGCGACTAGACGCATAACGGCAGGAAAGCATTCCCCCCACGTTTGTGCTAGTAGCCTGTATAGCTACCTAATCAATCACTGGTTTTTATTGCATATCCTCGACTGAAGTGAATTAAGTTACCAAAGTCAACCCATAAGGGCAACTACAGTAATCTAGAAGAGTTAAGTAGGAAGTAGAGCCGTCCCCGCATTTGTGCCTTGCTAGTTAATTGAACTGCTCCGCGGACAAAGGCCTCGTGTTCTCTCTCTCCGAGATTAGCGATCTAGACGTGCTGAGTTGACTTTAAATCAAAAGACCTCATCTAGTTGAAGTAAAATAAGCCTTAGAACGCTTTAAGTTCGAACAATCGTCGAGTTCAAGGAACTCCAGAGTCTGTGTACTCTTTGCAAGTCTTGTACTTGAAGTCAGAACCTGAGCGTTCTTTGTAGAGTGATTTTGCACTCTTTGTAGACCTCGGAGTCTTTGGTTGTTTGATTATTTGAAGTGTCCGCTAGAAGTTCTTCTAGACAACGTCGAAACGAGCATAACTTGCTCGACTATACCTTACAAAACAAGTTCATAAAACCCCGCTATCGCAGACTAGTGTACTTTGTGTAAAACACATCGAAAGAAGAATTGAAGTTGTTTTCAGGCAAAACCCCACTAGATTATCTAAATCTAAGTACATCGCGAGTGCTTCTATCGTACTCACCCTCAAACTTATATACATTGGTGATTGTGTGTGTGTGTGTGTGATTTAGTATCTAGATTGACGATCTAGATGCTAGTTTCATTTGCACACTGCCCGTTACCGAGCACATCACCGGATGCTCTGCACGAGGTTCCTTCTTCACGTCATCGAGATACTTGGGCAGGTGGGCAAACGTGTCAGTCCATAAGCGAATGACAGTCGGCCTCAAGTCAGAGTGGCTGTTGGCGCTGAAGAGGTTCTCAAGTGTTGCAGTCCAATCTAGGATTGGTACCACCACATTCTGTTTGAACAGCTTGACATCAGCAGCAGTGGGAAGAGGCAAGTCTTCGAACTTCCACACAGTCTTTCTCGACTTGGGTTTCCCATGCTCCTTCCCATCAATTTCATTGATGTTAGCTAACTCCAGTTCCACCGTGATGGATTTCTGATGAACGATGTCAGTTGCTGTTTGCTCGTCTTCATAGCACATACCTTTTCGACCTTGATGGCACGGTTGGTTGCCTGAGCCTTGACATTACTCTGAGACTTGGACTTGGCCTTTCTTGCTTCTCTGACAATCTCGACATCGTCGACTTCATGAAACTCACCAATAGCCTGGGGCTGATTTTCGTCTTCATTATCCCCTGTACTGGAAGCTGCCAGCGAAGTTGTAGATGCCATGGGATCGCTTTGTTGGTACACCTTCTCCCAATTGGACATGAGGCCACCAATGCTGTTGGACTTGGGATGCTTAACCGGACTGAACTTTGTGAGCATTTTTGATCCTGTGAGCATACTAAGCATACCACTGACATTTGTTCATTATCAGATCCTTGAGGACGCTTTTTAGTCTGGGCAATTGGATGGACAGCTGGCTTTGGTGCGACTGTGCAAAGACCTGTTATACCATTGTGAATTTCCAACTTGTCAACAGAAATCTGTGCAAATGTGGGTGTTCATCATGATAATGCAGGCAGAAGATTCACTTACCTTGGTTACAGGGCGTTTCTTGACCTGCTTCGACTCAGGCTACACTGGTCCCTCTCATGCCTTCAGTTTGGAGCCAGCCTTCTTCGTCTTGCAATGCTGGAGCAGAAACTTTTGGAATAGAGCTTCCTCATCCTCACTAGGTTCATCACTGCCCGATTGTCCCTCCACATACGCATCATCAGAATCGTCTTCTTCAACCAGTACAGGCACGCTTGAGTCCTCTACGGTGGGTAACTGCTCGCTCTTGGATGCCGAATCAACATCCATCCCGTTATCTGCAGGACCATCTGACTCAGACATAGCCACTACAGACACCAGTGGAAGATCATCCATAGATTCAGCATCATCCGGCCCCTGTTCATCAGCAGGAGGAAGCTCAGCTGATATACTCAATGGAGAGCTGATTACCGGAGTGACGGCTCATGGGAGAACGTTAACAGCTGTGATGGCTTTTTTGTTCGACGATTTGACTGTGACATGCTGGCGGGAAGGAGCAGGTAAGCCTTTCTTCATCAAATCAAGATCAGGACGAAGGGAGTAGATTGCCTTATCCTCTCGTGCACTCACATCCTCCAGAGCAGCAATTTTCCTTTGTGCCTGCTGCTGCTGCTCCTTTTGCTGTCTCTTTTTCTCTTCGTTAACCTCCTTCTTATGCTCCTTGGCTTCAGTGCGTTGGCGTCGAGTGTCAGCCAGCTCAGTACGAGTGCAGGATATTAATTCTGAGGGAACTGTGCTGGCTACACCACGGGTAGACATATGGGAGGTCATGGGTGAGGGGAGAGATAGAACTTGCACGATCGCCTGAAAAAAAAATTGGTAAGCTGAATCTCCTGTTCTGCATTGGTACTAGACATCTGCTCATAGGTTCTCTCTCTCATTTAGCTATAGACAATGGTTCGGCATTGATGTACCTGGCCAGGGTATATTCGTACATTCAAATGAGCTGGTGACCTCACTAAACACGTCAATTCAACTCATCATCGAGCACCGCAAATCTCACCAGCGGTTCAAACTGATCCAGACAGCGAGTCATCCGACTCTGAACTGAGACCGATCTCCCCAACCATCTCGCCAATAATCAACATTGATGAGGGCCTGGACATAGACGGGACCACCTTCGTCTCACCACTGCCAACTTCTCCTACACTGCCTGGACAGCCACCCGAGTCACAGGAGAAAAAACTTTACCATCCTTATCTTTCTGGTATGTTATCACTTCAACCTGGCTACCAGCACACTCATTGATCTGTCCAGGTGAAAAATGTGATAAAGATGGTGAGCCTTTGCCTCCGGATAGTCCACCCCCACCTCTTGCTGCCATTCCAAATGTCTGGGCCCCGTTTGATGGAGAAGTTCAGTTTCGTCTGGCCGATTTCCTCTTCCACAAAGTCGAGATGTCACAGAGAGATATCGATGAACTTATGGACTTGTGGGCCCTTGACCTGCACAAGCACGAGGATGACGCACCATTTGATAACCATCAAGCTCTTTACAAGGCTATTGATGAAATTCATGTTGGAAGTGCACCATGGAAATGCTTTCAGACCGTTGTACCACCCAATCTTGGTGCAGATGCTCCAGACTGGCAGAAGCAGCCATATCAAGTATGGTTTCATGACCCCGATCTGGTCATCGCCAACATACTGGTGAATCGGGACTTTGAGAAGGAGTTTGATACAGCACCCTACGTGCATCTCGACGCTCACAATCAACGGCGGTGGAGTGACTTTATGTCTGGGAATTATTCATGGCGACATGCAGTATGTACCTCATTCTTATCTATCTGAGTTCTTCACCTCATTTTGTTATTGCACCTTTCAGACCCAGATTTACGAAGCAAACAATGATACTGAGGGTGCCATGTACATTGGTGTAATTCTCGGCAGTGACAAGACTACGGTTTCAGTTGCGACAGGCAATGTGGAATATTACCCGGTTTATCTTTCCATCGGAAACCTCCACAACTCCGCTCGACAAGGCCATCGTAATGGGGTCGTACCAATTGCTTTCCTTGCCATTCCTAAGTGTATGCTCTTCCATTCAGCTGCCCCGGTTTGTTAGCTCACCAAGACAGCCATTGTAGCGGATCGGAAATACGACTGCGACCTTGCCTTCTGGCTTTTCAAGAAGAAATTGTATCACCAATCTCTCACAGCTATACTCCACTCCCTGCAGCCTGCAATGACCGTACCAGTAGTGCGACAGTGCCCTGATGGATTTTATCGGCGGGTAATCTATGATCTGGGTCCATACATCGCTGATTATCCAGAGCAAGTTCTTTTGGCAGGGATTGTCCAAGGCTGGTGCACCAAGTATGTGACCTATCAATGATGTTAAATAACACAATTAACTGGTCCTTGTAGGTGTACTGCTCCTGCGACCAATCTGGATGGATCAGGAGATCGGTGTTCATGCACACATACTGAGGCTTTACTGGAGTCTCTTGCTGGGCAGGGTGATGTGTTATGGGACAATTATGGCATTGATGAGGATATTCTGGTAGGCGTGTTCTGCCATGCTTAACCTCACTGATATCTGACTGGTTAATAAGCCATTCACCTTCAATTTTCCTCATGCTGATATTCATGAGATGATGTCCTCGGACCTTCTACATCAGATTATCAAAGGGTCTTTCAAGGACCACCTGGTGGAGTGGGTGTTCGAGTACTTGGTTGCCAAGGAAGGAGAAGCCCGAGCAAATGCTATCATGGATGATATAGATCACCGGTATGTGTTTAGACCCACCCAGAGCCATTCCAGCTAATGTCTGATCCCTAGAATTGCTGCAATGCCTCCCTTCCCTGGGCTACAATAATTTCTGCAGGGTCGAAGATTCAAGCAATGGACTGGGGACGATTCAAAAGCCCTAATGAAGGTAAACATTGTTCAATTTCGTGGCAGCAGCTTGCTGAAGTTTGGCCAGGTCTACCTAGCTGTGGTTTCAGACTATCTCCCGGAATCCATCATGCGATGTCTCTCAGCATTTATGGACTTTTGTTATCTCATTCGGCATTCAGACTTCGATGAGACTACGTTAAAACAAGTCCAAGACACTATCCAACGTTTTCACCATTACCACGAGGCTTTCAGAGTGGCTGGTGTGCATGAAGACTTCTCTCTTCCTCGACAGCATGCCATCGTGCATTATCCTAGCCACATTATGGAATTCGGCGCTCCTAATGGTCTTTGCTCCTCCATCACTGAATCGTGGCACATTACTGCTGTCAAAAAGCCATGGCGACGATCCAATCGATATAACGCTCTGAGTCAGATGTTACTCACGAATCAATGGCTCGACAAGCTTGCAGCTCTGCGTGCAGATCTAGTTCAGCAGGGTCTTCTTGAACCTTTGCATGCGCCTCTGCCAGATCCATTTGATACAGGATTGGAGGATGAAGGCACTGTTGATGGGGATCACATCATGGCAGAGGTTTCATTGGCTAGGACCGCAGGTATGAAACTCACTGTGCTACCCTGTCATGCAACTAAGACCATACTATGCCAGAGCGACTATATCCCAGAAATATTGTGCAGCTGGGTCACTATGTAGGACAAGCCAATTTGCATGAGCTTACACAGCGATTCCTCTACGAGCAACTGACAGGAGAATCTTCTGATCATGTCAGTCTGGACGAATGCCCTAAAATCACCATGCCGATATCTGTCTTTCATTCCGCCACTGCAACATTCTATTCTCCTAGTGACATCTCTGGCATCAGGGGCATGCACCATGAACATATACGTGCCACACCATCATGGCATGGTTATCCTCGATATGATTGTGCTCTCACTGTCACTAATGAGAGGGAGTCAGGATTTCGGGGCATGAGTGCTGTTCGTATTTTGCTCTTGTTTTCTTCCAGACACGAGGGCACAGAGTTTCCTTGCACATTGGTGCATTGGTTCAAGAGGCATGGTCATAGCCCAGACCCTAAAATGGGCATGTGGATTGTACAACCCGAGTACCAGGGTGTTAGGCACAATGCAGTCATCACTGTGGTTCATTTGGATGCACTTCTACGTGGTGCTCATTTGATGCCTGTGTTTGGAGCTAAAACATTACCACACAAGTTTCATTATTCACGTTCTCTGGACTGCTTCAGTGCATTTTATATCAGTAAATACGCAGATCACCATATGCATGAGATTGTTTAATATAATAAAAATAACATTATTATCATTTTTCAGTGGGTTCCTGGCTAGTGCGGCTCTCTCTCCTCCTCCGACCATGCCCACTGATGACCCATATGCCTTTTTCAATGCTCCTGCATGCCCCCGCAGACTGGTGCCTTTAACCAAGGAGCGTCATTGGAGAGTTATGCAAGCAGCAATCAAAAGTCAAAGATTAGGCAAACTGTACGGTACCATGCACATGGTTATTTTCAGCATAACAGGAACCAAGGCTGACAACATCATACCTAGCTTGACCAAACCAGTGGATGTGCCAAAGAAAAATTCCTACTTTGTGCAAGATGAAGACTCAGAGGATCGATTTGTAATGGCATCACCAGGGAACACGAGTGGTGATTCGGAAATCGACATCCAATACAATGGTCCTAGCACCTGGGACTTCATGATGCTCGATCTAGAAGTGTCAAATGGCTCAACTCGCATCCTACAAGCTCTCAAGGGCTTTCGTGTGTCGTTCGATGTGGGGGTCATCTCACGCAACTTGAGGGCTGGGTTGAAGGAGACATGGGAGGCACTGCACAAGCTCGAAAGGCTGGCTGATTGGATTGACAACGCAGACTTGAGGCAGTGGCAAAAGGCAGAAGAAGAGCATCAATGGCTGTGGAAGGGCTGGGAAAGATTTGTAGAAAAGGAGAACCACAAGCCTGAGTCGGAGAAGGTCCAGGAAGGTTATGCCAGTGGCTGAAGATATATACGAGAGCCATATAACGGTGAATTGAATACGCAAATGAGAACAATTAACTTATTAACTCTCAAATAAGCGCAGTAGTATACTACTACTACTAAGTGACTAAACTAGTACCAGCTCACATAATGGTATGGTAATTATAGGAGTATAGAGAAAGTAAATGCCGGCGTGACCAAGGAAATGCTCTATACATGCTATGGTACCTATAGCCTCTATAGGGTTGTAAGATTGCTGATGCAATAGACATGAGTAAATGAGTAGTCTCGTCCCCATCCATTCTCAGTTCTCGTGTGACCACATGTTAGTTGCCACATGCGGTGGAGTTGAAAATTTGGTGCAGGACTCATGCCAGTCTCTGCCCTCCCTTTTGTAACTCCGCTCGTGTGACACAGTCCGATCTCTCCGGACACAGTGAGGAGGGCAAGATCTCATGAAATGGGTGGGTACAAGACTAGTAAATGAGAAGTGGATGAGATATCGGATTTTCCTTTACGACTGGAGAGGGAAAGATTGATGTGTAAGCAAGATGACAAATACACGTGCAAACCCAAAGGGGAAACTTTGGCGAGTTATCAAACAAAAGAAAACTCCGGTTACAACTTAAAGACCGAATCCTGTATACACACAGAACTCGGAACTGGGTCTTCCCAGTATGAGTATCACTTTCCTCACATGCTATTGGCTGGGCTGACAGAAGGGCTGTTCAGTTATTGGGATCTTGTGTCAGTACACATATACGAATACTATGCAGCCACCTTCCACGTTCTGTTCTTACAGGACGTTCCCATACCAGTTCTCCCTTTTCCGGCCTGGTGGCATCCTTTCGTCTTTTCTTCGGCCTGTGGGGACTTCAAGTAAACCACTCACATCTATTCCAGATCTCAATCTAAGGGCACTGTGGCTAGAAACTGCCGTGGTCTTGGTTCTTGTCCTAGGGTCCAAAAATGGCTGAACTATCACCATTTTAGATGTGTGCTGCTCATTACCGCCTTTCTCACGCTGACACTCAGATAAGCTGTAAGCTCCATTGGCGCATCTCTCGTATACTAAGATTGACGAAATATTAATCCTATCTGGACATCGGTCTTCGACAGTTTAACTCTGGCCTTTCTCACCCCGACATCGAACACACTCCTGATCCATGGACCCTTATACTAGTAGTAAGTTGTCCATGGCTAGGTAAATGTTGCCATATGAGTAGTCAAACTATTCGTCTCTATTTCAAGCATCAACCTCAAAATGACTGTAGTAAATGACTTCAGGTGTTTCTGGAGTGGTGTTGTGGATATTGATCTCTGCTGGCATGCGCATGAGTCAACATATGCCTGTCCTCGATCTTCTCGATTGCGCTTAGCACTCTCTTATGCTCTCGTTAACTACACCTAGCGCTTGTTAGCACACTTACAGATCCCTCTTGGTAATTGGACCTAGGGCTTCGCACCATCACCGTATAGTATGGTTATACGGGTGCCATCATACGGGTACTGTGCCCATTCCGTCTGGCGAAATAACTTGCCCAGAGACAGACGGTATACGGACATCCCGTATACCGTTAGCAACCGTATAAACACGGCCGTCATACGGTAATCGACGGCCGTGTATGTATCTAAAAATAACTGTCATCAGATCACACTGTACACGTGTTTGCCATACACTTAACATCGTACCACGATGTGCTGGCACCGCAAGCTCTTCAGCACTACCACCTGATCTTCTTTCACTCGCTCTACTCAAGCTCTAACCCTTACCAGCATAGAATATTTTCTATTTCCTGCTTCTGCTGCCTCTATTCTACTACTGTTTCATCCTTTGAGTTTGACTACCCACACATATTGCGCAATAATTTGCCCCCCGCTGGCCTGTGCACCTGTCAAATACTGCTGAATTTTAAGCCAGAGGAGTTCACGAAAGAGTATATAATGGTCCTTTTTTCGCAGACTTACAACCACATTCTGAGCATCATGACAGATCAGTGTGCCCTCGATGCCAATGGAAACTTGAAATCCCCCTCGAAATTCAATTTTTATCACGATGCAGATGACGACGTGCCCATGGCAGGACCTGGAGCTGCTCCGAAGCCCCAAATATCAGGTATGTATTATTCAACGGCCGTATTGACGACCGGCACGGCCGTCTATATACCCGTACCGTACCGTCAACCTAGTTCTAAGAGCATTGACGGTACGGTTACGGATCAGCCGTCGCCCGTCACTGTACCGTGGCTATACGGCCGTATACCGTATACGGTACGGTGCGAAGCCCTAATTGGACCTCGGTTTTCGGACATCCTTACTACAACTTGGGTTTTACTTCGAGTATTTATCAATTCGTATATTAGCTCGAATACTCATATTCTTAACAAACAAGTAGGACTTCACAGATACTGTTGTGGCCCTCACCCAATAAAATGTACGTGCGTCAAAGTACGAAGCATCGGAATGCGAAGGAGGGGCAAATCCACACGATTGAATTACGTCCTGGATGGTGGTTTCTTTCTCGGGAATAGAGAGCAATCGCTTCGATCCCTCACTCGAGACTGCTGCTAGTCGTACGATTTTGTAGTTCGCATATGGACAGGGCCAGCCAGAAAGATAAAGAGCCGATCGCGAAGGACCTTGCCCCCAGTGCTAGTTCCCATCGACGCTAGGTGACAAGCCATTGACAGATGGATGTCGAGCAGTAAGTTTCCTAGATCCTTTTTGTCATCTCCTAAGCAGTTACTGATACTTAGCTTTCAGGTTCCGCAAAGCTGGATACCAAGCAATTGATCGCATTTGCGATTACTACTACTCACTACAGAATAAACCGGTGGTCGCTAGGGTACCACTTGGTCATCTCAAAGCTATGTTACCGTGTGCGTACCAGAAACTGCTGGAATTTCGGATGTCACCAACGTACCCCATCAGCAACTCCTCCAGAGCTTGGAGAAGATTTCCAGATTATTGCGGACGATTATCAAAGGCTCATCATACCTGGTATATCCGATTACGTTCTGGTACATGCGATCTGATTCGAATTTGCAGGTCTCACACATTGGCAACACCCTTCTTTCTTTGCCTACTTCCCGGTTGCGTGCACATTTGAAGGCATCTTAGGAGACCTATATTCCAGTAGTGTCACTAATCCCGGTTTTAATGTGAGTCACATGCTATCTTCTGTAGTATAGCAACATGACATTGACGATGCCTTAGTGGGCTTGTAGCCCCGCGTGCACTGAACTAGAGGTCATCGTCATGGATTGGGCAGCAAAGCTTCTTGGCCTCGCTCCCAAGTTCATGAATGACTCTGGAGTTGGTGGAGGGGTAATCCAGTCGACTGCATCGGAATGTGCAATGTTAACTATCGTGGCTGCTCGCGCATCGTACCAGCGAAGTTACCCTGATACAAAGCTCGAGGAATTCATCATCTATGTTACGTCCCAGACCCATTCGCTTGGAATAAAGGCTGGAATGGTGCTCGGGCTATCTGTACGCATACTCGAAGTCAAGGCGGAGGACAATTATTCGCTGAGGGGAGATACTCTCCGTAGTGCGCTGGAGCAGGACATAGAAGCTGGTAAAAAGCCGTTGATTTTGCGTAAGCTTAGCTCTCTCTATAACATTTGTGTATCGCTAACATTCTCTCTTTGTCAGTCGCTACTGTGGGAACTACGTCTTCCGGGGTTATTGATAATCTTTATGAAATCAAGGAAGTCGGTAAGTCTGTGGGATCAAGTAACGCGCAAGCACTTGTATTTACTAAGTCAAACAGTCATGGACCATCCTTATTTGCGTATTCACGTTGACGCAGCTTGGGCCGGTGTTGCGTTTAGCTGTCCTGAGTATCGACAACTTGGCTATCTGGACGAAATCAACGAGTTTGTAGACTGCTTCTGCACCAGTTTCTACAAGGCAGGTCCGCTCAATGATTCACTATGCATAATCTTACTAGCTGGCATTTAGTGGGGTCTCGTTAACCTTGATGCTTCTGCACTCTGGGTCCAGGATCGAAAATATCTCACAGATGCACTAAATACAACTCCACCATATCTGCGAACCAAACAGGGTGACGCTGGTTCGTGCGACCGTTTTTGACATGAAAGTAACTAAATAATGAGGCTTTTCACCTAGACACGACCATAGATTATCGGAACTGGCATTTGGGACTTGGTCGTAGATTCCGATCCTTAAAGCTTTGGTTCGTTTTTCGCAGCTTTGGTATCCAAGGCTTCCAGAAACATATCCGAAAGGTTGCATCCATACTCTCCTTATTATTTCAGGTTCTAATATTCACGCTTCTTCTAGTCAATCGGACTCAACAATCTCTTCGTCCACTTAGTTGAGCAATCCGATATCATCAAAATTGTCACCCCACCTTCCTTAAGCTTGACTGTATTCCGATTGGAGACCCCTTCTCAACACAGGCACAGTCTGCAGTCCCTAAACGCACTGAATACGATGCTTTTCAGCCGTCTTTCGCTCGTGACGATATTTACCTTACGCAGACAATCCTCGATGAGAAGGTTTGCATACGTTTCGCCGTCGGTGCTGAACGAACGAATGAGAACCACATACGAAGAGCCTATGACACCATTATGAATGAGGCGATCTTGACACTGGAGGAATGGAAGTAACAACCAGTATATTCGGTATTATAATACCCCTTCGTTATTACATGAAATTGCCACTGCATCCACCGCTGTACACTGGTTGATTTGATAGGGCACCATTTAAGCTTATCACTCCCATGGCTCTACGATGCACCCGTACGGAACGTTGTCCAAAAGACGGCGGATGTAAGATGCATGATAGGCTTGAAATGCTATTTTTGGTAGATAAGTTTTCTTCATGAGATCAAAGTCCACAGCACGCCAGTTATAAGTCCGACCAGTGAATGGGGAAGGCAAGCTGGGCAGACCCCCTTGATTCTTCGGCAGCACTGACAGGAAGTTCGCGTAGCGTATGTCGTTGTGGCATAGGTAGAGTCTGCCAATATCGTTATACATATCAAACATGTGTTTCCTGCTACATGATAAGTTGAAGGTGGATACAGGGTATGCAAAATGCACGCACCTCACGCCACGCGGAAGCGACCTTGCCTAACTTCAACCTACCACCTACGCGCTCCATAAGGATGACGGTGACTAGATCAGTCGTAAGGAATTGGCTTAAAGACTTCGTCCTCGTCTAAATCTTCCTCCGCTTCGCTTTCGTCTTGTGCTTTTCGTTCCGCCATAATCGGGAAGTCAATTTCGTGTGAAGGATACTTAGCTTGAAACATTCCATAGCAGCGTGGTACACAGACCCCTTGCAGTATCTGCATCGGGAATTCAGTATAAAACCGTAGAACTACCAAAAATGTCCTTGCCTCCATCTCGTCATAAGAAGCAGCCTTCGTTAACCATGTCGTTCAGTCCGTCCTGGAGCGCATATCTTTACGACCAGGGGATGGTATATGAAATGAATCTGCTGCTGACGAGGTCGATGGATTGACCACGACACTATGAATCATCCTAACTCTACCCTCTGAAATGTGTTGGCCGATATTCAACTCGAGATTATGCTTGCCAGGTGGAGGAAGCCGCGAGGGAAGGCGAGGAGGTGGCACATCTTCCAGCTTGACTTCTTTTGGATCTTCGAGGTAAGTTATCTTCAAAGGGGGGACTCTCGAGCGTTTCAAGACAAGCGGTATAGCGCTTCCATTTTTACCCGTCGTTAATCCATGCAACACAAGAGTGGATACTGCGTTTAGGAGCTACCTCTGTGGTAAGTCGACAGTGAATATACATGACAACGTAAAGCACGGACGAGTTCAGGTTTCATGATAGGTTGGCCCTGGTGTGACACCGGTGAAGATACTAGATCAAAGATATGAGTATCTCTTGAGGTTCCTGATTTCCTTGATGTTGGTGTTCGCTAGCACGGTGCGAGACATGTCGTATGTTATTTAAAATGATCGCGAATAATGTTTCTCTTATGTATAGTAAGCAACTACAGAAGAAACGAGTGCTGGTAACTAGGGGACTTGGTTATCCCAGGGACGCACGAATTCCGATACCGGAGCCTTCAGGGGGGACAGGAAGTTCACCAGTCCTGTCAGAAGTAAATTCACGATATCTGCGTTAATCCGAATATCAGTAGTTTGCCTCGGACTCATATAGCAACAATCTCACATTCGATCTAGTTTTAGTCGCTCGTCTTTGGGACAGAAGGTCGTGTAGACTTGAGGACAGTTACGAAGTGCTCCGGTTGAATTACATGTTGCTAGCAAGGAAATGTCCCAGTCAGTTTGCGGTTGTCGAGTTGCAAATAAAAGCGACGGACCTTCTTGGGTAAATTACCAGCACTTTTTTCATCCTTTACTGTCCTTTTATTGGACTGACATGATGCTTGTATTTGTCGCAGCTATACGGAACGAAATTTAACACTTCCAATTCACATCATCTCTGTTGAGCACTCACCCGTTTCTGAAGCGCACTCTTTTCTGCCTTACTGCTTACCGCCTTGTCTTTAGATCCGCCACCAAACGTCGTGTAATCGATAGGCGTCTCGTCCTCGCGAGACGAATTACCGCCATTAATGTCCATAGATATAGTTGAATGGACAACTTCTAGGTTGGCATTGTAAACCAATGCTTGAAGATCCGCACCCGAGAATCCTTCCGTGGCATCTGCAATTTCATCGAGGTCGACAGTTGGAGCTAGGGTCACTTTCCGAGTGACAGCCTTCAATATCTGGGTACATTAGCTGCGTTAGCAGTGTAACATGAATGTGCTATTACACTCTTACATCCTTGCGTTCATCGAAATCGGGCATGTCGCACAGAAGTGATTTGTCTAAACGACCAGGGCGCAACAGGGCCGAGTCGATGAGATCAGGACGACTAAAAATGCAGACATCATCACTTCACATTCGTTGCGGCGACAAAGATGGGTGTACCTGGTAGCAGCCAAGACGTATACCCCATCCAGCCCTTCCGCGCCATCCATTTGTGTAAGCATCTGATTCACGACACGATCTGTTACGCCGGTACTGTCGTGACTTCTATGATGAAAACATTGAGTTAGCAATATACAAGAAACTATCAACGAATCGTCACACCGTTTGGGGGCGATGGAATCAAACTCATCGAAAAAGAGAACACATGGCTTAGCAGCACTAGCTCGTTCAAATAGATCCCGGACCTATAGTAAATTAATAAAGAGATTACTCGAAGTTGAAGAAAGAACGGACAGTTTTCTCGCTGGCACCGATGTATTTGTTAAGGACTTCAGGACCCTTGACGCTGATGAAGTTCAGACCGCATTCCTTCGCTACGGCTGATGCTAATAGAGTCTTGCCACATCCAGGGTAACCGTACAGAAGCAGACTAATGGGATAAGATTACACTTGAAATGATGACTACGCCCGGAAGCACGTACCCAGATCGCAAACGTAAGGGAGATTGCGCAAAAATGGGACCGTACTTTGTAGGCCACTCCAGTGTCTCCCGAAGAATCCGTTTTGTTTCCTTCAGTCCTACCAAGAACCTGAGTCACAGAAAAAGCAGACATTAAAAGTTGCCCACCTCCGACATCAGACCATGTAATATCTGACTTTTGGGTTTTTACATCGCGAAGGGATAGGGGAACAAAGTCCACTTGAGCAGCATCGAAATCTGTTTGCGTAAGAAGAGCCTACAGTCGTTGTTTATTTGGCAGTCTACGTGAAAATGGACACTTACTGGACTATCGTCCATGGCAACCTTGATGGCAGATTGATGTACCGCACGAGCCACTAAATCTTGCAAGTCCGTAGCGGAATAACCTTCCGTTTGCGTGGCGATGTAAGTATAATTCAAGGGTGCTGCAGGATCCTCTCGCATATCTTCTGCGAGTTCGAGGCGATCTTTCACGATTTGGCTAAGGATCTAATGAAGAGTCAATGTCTAGGAGGTCACTCGGGGAAATGAGATTCTGACATCTCTTCGAGCATCTTTATTTGGAGCCTTGACATGGACAATCTCATTGAAGATATGCTTGCTGTTCAAGAGGGGGTGAAGAGCACTGGCTGAAGGTGCTGTAGCAATGAGAATCACGCCTCTGGAATTCGGAGAAGCAGATCGAGCGGAGGAAGAGTAGAGATATACGAATAGCTCTACCAGTTGTCGAGTTCGGAACGAGTCGGTGTGCTATTAAAAAGTATCAGCTATGATTCGTGCTTATAGGAATAGATCTACCTCTTCTTCTGCCTTTAACAAGTGCTCAATGTTGTCCAAAATCAAGATGGATGGTTTATGCCAAGCTGCTTTATCAAACCAATATTTGAACAGAGCCTTTACTGTGCTGACGGGCTTGTCTGCATAGGGTGTGACGTCGACGTAGTGGATATCTGAACAGAACTGTGGGAATGAAGTAGTCACGAAGCAAGGCCGACGTACAAGCAAAAGTCTTTGGATTCTCCTGCAACCGGTGCGAGACAGCCTTCACGATGGATGTTTTACCAGCCCCAGGCCTGCCCGTAACAAGGAGAGAAGACACTAGGTGAACGGGATGAGTAGCGAGTCAAAGGAAAATACATGGATTTCGCACCTCCACGGACAGAAGTCTTTGTTGAATGCAAAATCATCGTTCGTATGCAAAATTCTGTACACCGGATCAGTATGTCGTCGACGCCAGCCAAAAAGTCGGTGGTAGGACTAGGATAGGACGATCAGTAACATACACGCAGATTGGTGGTGAACATACGGTGGAGTCTTGACCGTGGAGGTCGAAGCCTTGTCAGACGGTATGCGCAAGGGTGAGGAGTCCGTATCGACAGAGACACTGATAATAATGAGAACATGCACAACAACCTAACGCATCACTCAAATTCACCTGACCAAGTCCCACTCCTCTATATCGTCCACAGCGGTCGGCAAAACAATGTGGCCATTCGGTATGCCTTCAGATCGGCCCAGAAATATTGTACCCGGCTCTACTGTCGTCGATTCCTTCTCCCCGGGCTTAAGGACCCGCGGAACAGGACCTGGAGTTGCACTCGCAGTGGCACTGGAGGATGGATCGGTAGGTGGTGGAAGACGCTTCGCATGGGCTTTAACATAGGTGTCATCCCCGAGGGATTCGGATGATCTTGTAACCTTGGCAAAAGTTGCTGGGGAAACAAATCCTAGTAGCTCGGAGCCCGTATAAACAGCGAAAGGTCGAGTAAGAACACGGGATGGTACCACCCGGAGACAATGGGCCTGCACCGATGACGAAGGAGACTGGATCTTTGCTTTGGGGTCATCCGTAGTTGGCGTGGTGCTAGGTTTTTCGGGTTTGAGTTGTTGACGGCTATGCAGCTTGGGTGCAATGCTGACTTCGGTGTCGATTGTCAACAGAAGCGCTTTGCCTTTATTCGTAGGATCCAACGACACTATATAGCAGTCAGCGAGACCGGACAAGGGATTTTGTGCAGTCCGACGCACCCACAGTAAGTCGTACTCTCGTTCTTCCCAATACCCAAACATCTATTTCTTGTCCGACGTTGGCGACACGCACTTGGGATAATAGCGTCGATTCTACGTGTGAAGCGTGAATTTCCTATCTAGACAGTAAAAACCTACTTGAAAACGGTACACTGAGAGACCTACGATAATCTCCCAGTCGTCAGCAGTAACTGGTTCAGTCCCCACAGACTTTGCGTAAGGCAGGTCATGCAGTAATCCAATCTCTACCTATTGGCCTAGTTAGCTGAGGAAGGGCCAAAAAGAACCTATAAAGCACGCACAAGATCCCCTTGCAAGAAACCTAATGCCTGTGCATACTGAGGGTCTATTTCAATAGTTCCAAGGCTGTCTCCGTCGACCGAGTTGATATTTGCTAGAGACGAAGCCGACGCCATGCCTGTCCATCCCACGTAGGCTTCTTTCTTCCCTCTTTCCGGACGGTTACCCGAAGGCACGAGAGAGAGATGTACCGCGAGCCCTTGTGGGCGCTGTAACGAGAATTAGAGGCATAGTGATGGTCCTGCAGATAGTACGCACGACGCTGCGCTCCAACAGAGGGCCATAAATAGAAATAGGCAGGTTCACCAAGGACGAATGCAGCGATACGAAATGGATGCGAGCACGTCGAGGCATCGCTTGCACGTCGCGGTAGTGGAAGAGCCGTGGGACATGAAACCGAGGTGTCTGGTCATTATCGACAACAGTGAACTCGGGTTTTCATCAGCACGGGCACCGCCACCTGATTACCACGAACTTTCCAACGTTACTCTATCGCTAATGGAGGGGTCTGGAAGGTCTGAAGCCACAAATTTACCCAATTTACCCACATTTGCGCAACTACGTAGCATGCGCAGTTGATGCTATCATTTGGGATTCATGGAGAAGAAAATTATTATTATTAAGATATAGTACTGTGCTGCAACCAAGCATTCCTCGCAACCTCTCATCATATCCAACTATGCAAAAGAAGATAGACCCTGTTCCGGGAGGAGGAAAATGTTTACGCCTCTCATTTGAGGCGTAGCGTCTGCTCTGTAATGGCGGGCATGGCCGATGAAAATATCCGACAAGCGGATGTGGCGCCGAGTCGTCTACCCCACAGTGATCTCCTCTGGAATAGAGTCTAAGCCAGATAGGCGCTGTCGATGTCGCATATGCTTGGGCCGACGCGATGATTTTTTGTAGGTGGCAAGGGGGTCGAATATATGATCTGGGGATGATAAGATGACCTCAATGGCGTCCGAGGAGTAGAGAATGAAGGGTTCCTCTTCATCAGAGTGGATATATGGCACCGAGTAGCTAGGCGAACTGGAACGGATGGGATCTTCTGGAATGGTGAAGAGACTGGGATGGTGAATGTATGGTTCCCTGTGAACCTCAGGAACTGTAACAGTTCCCCACAACGACTGCTTCTGCTCCTGCTGACCTCGCACCCAGTCCTCCACGCGCCTTTGTCCTTCTCCCTGCCTGATGAAATGACGCCTAGCATCACGCTGTGAAGGCGATTCCTATGAATCTGAGCTGGCGTCCAGCAGTGCTGTATGAAGGCGACGGAACAACGACAGTAGTATCGATCATGGTGAAGATGTTGGTAGCGAGAAAGGTTTCGAGTGGCCTTTAAAGACGGATGATAGAGAGCGCCGTAGCAGACCGCAGTTCAAAGAATCCATTCTCCCCTTTATATGACTGCGGCAAAGGTGTATCGCTAATTTGAATTTGCTGAGTATAGCTGACCGAGAAATTCCCGCCGTCTGCGCGTAAGCTGCGCAGTAAGACATCCAGATTGCGAGCGGACGGCATTAGTAACTCTGGATTACTCACGTGAAATAGGTGGAGTTTGCTACTCCTGTAAACTTTTCGAAGCCGAACCCAGAGTATCAATTGATCTTAGATGAGTTTGCTGACTCGGAAAAAACTTTTCAGTCAGCGAAGTAATCGCAACTGTGTTATTTACGCTCGGGGTCTGGTGTTGCCAGTGCGTACACCTTGTTTCCTCGCTATTTCGGCCAGTGCGACTTCTTTGCAAACAGGTGTTTACCGGCATGATTCTATGATGTGAGGTAGCTTCAAGTAAGCTTCCAGAATTTGAATAATTCGTTCGAGTTTTGAAAAAGGTAACATCATGAGAAGTTTAGTGCAAATCAGCTACCAGTGACGGAGAGGCAGTTAGGAATCTTCATCATGTACGCATTAGACGACTTACTGGTGACACTGGGGCCCGGGTTCGCATTGAAATTCTATTGGCAGTTAATGTCGGATCCTTGAAGGCAGGTACTCTCAGAGATCCAGCTGCTTAGACTAGACGTGGAATTCAATGGAAAAGATATAATCATAGCGAGCAGCGAATGCCGTGTTATACAGCGTACATCATTTTTTCTTTCCGCTTCCGGATTTACCTTTCCCAAATGACTTGCCTTCAAAGCCAGGTCGGGCTTTCGTCTTGCCCTTAGCATTACCCTTCTTCCGCTCATTCCGCATTGCAATGTTATCAGACCGCTTTTTCTGCTTCGCAGCCATAGACGCAGTAACTTGCTCCTTCCGTTCATCCCTTGAAAAAAATTCAGGCGCGTATCCTTGGGGACGACAAAAGAACACGTACCAAGCCTTTTTGCTCTTCACTTTCACTTTCTCCTTCCGTTTGGCTGCTTTCTTCAGACGGGTCTCATCGTCCTTCAATTTGACGCCTTCTAGACGGGCTTCTGCTTTCTCGAACTTATCCTTCTCCTCGATTGCTTTCCTTTTATCTTCGGGCAATGCAGCGAGGCGTTCTTTGCGAGCCTCGAGTTGCTCCAAAGCCTGGGTAGGATCGGCAGACGTTTTTAAATGTGAGCCTTTCTTTGAAGAAGTGCCTACGATGGTGGAGAATGTGACGTTGGTAAAATTGGCTTGGGGACCGCGAGATGGAGGCTTTCTGGAGGATGAAGGTTCGTCCGGGACAAGCAGTTGGGTCTATGCATTGTCAAAATATTATTCGGAAAACATTTATTAAGGCAGACCTTTGTGATATTTCCTTGCGCTCGGGTATCCTTTTTCTCTTTGTCTTT